TTTCGGTCTTAGTCTTGGTCTCGACCAGTCTTGGTCTTGGTCTTGCCTTAGTGTGTCTTGGTCTTGGTACCCTCAAGTCTCGGCAGTGTCTTGGTCTTGATACCCTCCAGTCTCGGCAATGTCTTGGTCTCGGTTTAGGTGGTCTTGACTACAACACTACTTGTTAGCCCTCTGTATTAAAGTACCTGATCCTGCTCTGTTTCCTGTGGAGTCATTGACTGTGATGTTGGTTATTCTGTTTCGCTATGCATGCTTCCCTGCCTTTTGGCTGTTATTAATTTTATCTCAGTAGATCATTTTTTTTTGTTCTGTTAGTTACATCCTTCTCCTATTCAGTTTTGACCACTTGTGGTCATTTTTTGCAGTGTTTTCAGGGTACAGTAAAATTACGTTATAGTGGAGTCGCTTATAACGGAATATCGTCTGTAACGGACGAGGTCCGCTGTTCCCGGCCGTGCGCCTTTATGAACATGCAGGAAAAGCATCGGCTATAGCGTACGGAATTTCACTTATAACGGACAAACAATTTGGTCCCCAGGGCCGCTTTTAGCTGTAGTTTTGTTTGGTTATAACGGACATTCAGCTCTGCCTACAAAGCGCATGGCGTGCTGGTGATATCCAGCGCAGATACGTACGTAGTCGGGATTATTAATAGTCACGCATCTGGTCAGGTAAAGTTGGATTACTACATGTACAATATAATAATCTATACCACAAGTGTGTCTGCTGGGGTGTAGCATGAGTAAATGGTGTCCTGTAGTTGTGTTCTGGCCATACAGCAACTCTGGATATAACGGACTGTTTTGCCAGGTCTCTCTTAGTCCGTTATAACGGGATTTTATTGTATTCAGTTCCTGTAATAAACCCCGTTTTTTTGTGGAGCCGCAAGTGGATTGCCACCTTCCTTTCCTGCTCCGAGTTCATAACAGAAACCCAGAGTTTGTGACACTAAATTGGGCAAATTAGCCAAACATTGCAAAAGCTACCGCTATATGTAATGTCCAATTCACACCTTGAATTTTAGGGACAAAGAGTTGGGGTGAGGGAATTAAGGGTAAAAAATATAGCTAATTACGGACAGACATTAGTTATTTTATTTCAATTCAACATGATGGAGACAAAATTATGCAAAAAAGCACTTTTGTTCGAGCACCGTTTACAAATGCAGCGCTTAAAAATACAGACACTACTACAACGTGGTATTTTTAGCCAAATAAATTACCACTGAATAATTTAAGCAATTTTGCCATAAATTTGGTAGCAAATTCACACTGAACCATGTGACCCGAGGAGGCTGTAAACTGATATTTTAATCAGGTGTATTACAGTTTTTCTGAATTGCTAAAACACTAAATCCCATTGTACTGTAAAAACTAAACTGTCAACTACCAAAACTCTTTCATCAAATCAATCCCACAGTTGTCAAAATCTTATACACTATTCACCTGGTTAGGACACAATTTGCAAATCTGAACCTCCCATTTACAAAAACTCTAAACACATTCTCAAACACAAAACACATTTAGCAGTGTGGTGCACTTGTACCCAGAATGGTGCACACAGACTACAGAAGTTAAACACAACCAGGGGCGCCGTAAGGGGGAGGAAAGCTAGGACGATTCCAAGGGCCCCTGAGTGACAGGGGCCCTAAAAAATTAGGAAAATAACTGGATTGGTTTGGACTGGGGGGCCTAATATGATATGCTTTCATGGGGCCCAAAATCTCTAGCGGCGCCCCTGAACACAACTAACACACTGTTTTCATCATTTACACAATACCACTCAAAATTGAAAACACATGTGTCCAATCAGTGAACTCAATTAGTAAACAGTATATAAGCCTAGTCAAATGCAAAAGGCATGAGTGGATCCAACAATGGAGCAACACAATAGAAGAGGAAGAGGAGTCCAAGTCCGTATCAGAGGTGGTGGGCAAGGACGAAGACCAAGAAGAAGATCTGTAATTTCAAATGACATTTGAACAACTGTCATAGATCATGTTCTGGTGCATGGCATGACTTTGAGGGAGGCAGGGCAACGTGTACAACCAAACCTAAGCAGGTTCTCAGTGGCATGGAAAAATATTTTCCTCTGTTACTGTGTTTGAAAACATTTACTGAATAAAATGTATGTGTGTGTGTGTGTGTGTGTGTGTGTGTGCGCGCTTCTAACTAAATGTTTTTTTTTTTTTAGAATTGGAAGACAGCCACATGAGGGTGGAAGAACACGCATGTTCTCACAACACCAGGAGACACTTATTGTGGATATGGTCCGTCAAAATAATGCAATTCGACTGCGTGAAATACAGCAACGGATTATAGAAGACAACATACATTTTGAGGGAATAATTAGTGTGAGTCTGTCAACAATTGACCGTGTCCTGCAACGCAACAGGATAAGGATGAAACAAGTTTATCGGGTCATTGATGTTGTATCGTTGCGTGCTTTCTGCTGTCGTTAATTAAAACCCGTGTTCCTGATCCCTGGATTCCTGCCTGTTTGTCTACGCTCCGGGCGCTTACGCGATCGTAACAGAATGACCGGACTGGGGATACTAACACAGACGTGGACTAAATACAATGAACTAATGACAACAATCAGAAACAGCTGTAAACCACTGGGATTCCACATGAGGTTAACGAGGGGGCGTGGCACACGTTAGGATCGGACGGAGCGGGGCGTGACAGAAACTGTGAGAGAGTGAAAGAGCAACAATGTCAATATGTGCAAGTAAGTAAACTTTTACAGTAAACTCAGTACTAGAATGTATCCTGTATTGTCTGGGAAGCAGCACATGTATACATCATACTGTGTCATTTACAGAACTAAATGTAGTTTGTTTTCACTGTGTACAGAGAATCTTTGAGCTTGACTCAATGGTTAGGCCTGAGGTGTTGTGCTAATTGTGTGAAGTGATTTAATAATTGTGTGAAATGTTATGAAAAACCGGGCCCTGTTTTCAAAATTGTGCTTAAGCAATTGAAAAAAACTGTAAACCCTATTGAGGAGTTTTTCTCGGCATGGAGATGGAAAGTATATGACCGAAACCCTTACACACAGGAAAATCTGCTTCAAGCAATGAATGGAGCATGTGGTGACATTGGAGTGGAATCTTGCCAGGGCAGGATTCGGCATGCTAAAGGATTCTTTCCCCGTTGCCTTGCAAGGGAGAACATAGCATGTGACGTGGATGAAGTCCTGTGGCCTGACCCAGCACAGAGGCGTGATGCTGAGGCAGAATAATTTTTCTGAATATGCGGTAAAAATATATATATATATATTTTTTTTTTATGTAAAACTTTTTTTGCTGCAGTCCTTTTTTGTTTAAATGTGAGTACAAGGATAAATGAATAAATAAATATTCTCCCGCTATCCCACAGTGTTGTATTTATTCATGTACTGTAGTGTGTAATCGTTAAGTTGTGTTTGCACATTGGCTGGTTTTGTGTGGTTTTTGACAGTAGTGCTTGATTTTGAGTAAAGTTAAAATAGTTTTGGGTCAAATGTTTGGTTTTGCAAGACAAGTCGAAGGTTTTGTGAGTGTAGCTTGAATTTTAGAGTTTGTGTTTAGTGTTTTGAGACAAAGAGATGAGATTTTAGGAAATGTGTTTTAGCTATTCAGAAACTGTAAAGCACAGTACAGAACCATATGTTTTTTTTTTCATTTTCCATTCTGTCCACCTTTATTTTCCACAATCAACCTTATTACTTGGATCACTCTCCTCTCCCAAAATAACTATTTCTTGGACACGCTGCTGCTTTGTACCTGGCTTGGCCTCCTTGCGGATGAAGTCTTTCATCATGTGCCAAACAAGCTCAATGGGCTTCAAATCTGTTTAATTTTCATATACCACACTGCCCCTCATTGCTCGATAATATCAGTCTTATTATCCACCTCATCTGCAAAGGGGGAAGTAAAATAAAATTCTAATTTCGTCAATAAACTGACTAAAAACATTTTTAAGCCATCTTTGCCTCAACAGAAACAATTTCTTAAATTTCACAGGCCATTTATTGCAGTGTACTCAGTTTATTAATGAAATTAGAATTTTGTCTACAAGAAAATGATACTTGCTTAGATTTTCATTTTTTGCAGTGGTGTTAAAATATCTGATTTCAGGTAAGTCACTTCAGCTTTCATAATCACTGCTCTCTCTGGTGGATGGATAAATCATTGCAAGTACTTTACACACAGAGAGTTAAGGGGTGGATCATGCCAGCCTCCTTGTTCATTAGATCATCGTGGGGGATCTCATTACAGTCAAGGTCCCACCCAGGACTCAGCAGGGGCCTGTGAAGGACCAGCCAAGGCCCCATCATGGAAACAGGGGAAAATTAAAGTGGCTAAATCTGTACATACACAGTTCGGGTTTTGAGACTAATTTATTGCTGAGCAAGCAAGTGTTGCGCAGACACAAGGGCATAGAGAGGATGAGTTTTCTGCTCTCAAGCATACACGCATGCGTGGTTTTTATGTTCACAGGTTTTGAGAGGCTGACCACCAGATCAAAATATTGGAGGCCTTAGTAAAGGACTTTGACTCCCAGTTGTGCAACACACTGGAGCACTAGGTTACCATCGATCCCTGCTGTATTGCTACAGAAATGTGAAGCAAATAGTCTGTTGGACATTAAGCAGAATTGACCCCAAGACTTCTGTTTGTATGTTTAATTACAATATCACATGCTGCTGCAAAACTTTTTCTAGCTCAAAAACATGTTTTAAAGGACCACCAGAAAACTCAGTCTTTGAATCAGCTGTAGAGATGGTTTTTAATCCAAGTGTTTAAGAGAGAAGACTTCTGACTCAAAAAAGCAAGCTCAATGAATCCTGTGCTGTAAAGTCCACAAAACTTTGAAGAGATACTCTGACATTTGTTTGTTCATTTGTTAAGGATATAATTTAAAGTTTGAGACAGATAAACTGCCAATTAACTACTTTTGTTTATTTGGTGTTTTTATCTATTCAATAAAAACTCTGTATCCTGGTGAGGATCTTACCTTCTGAATGTCCCTCTTGATAACAGCAGAAGAAACAGAGGCCAATAAAAAGCTGAGAACAACCAGTGGCACCATTTCCAAGAAGAACTGGAGAGCAGATGGAGATGGCCCCTTTTTAAAGCCAGGAGAGCAGCAACCCATTGGCATTGTGACACTCAAAAACACACAGGAGCCAGTTAATCATTGTACTTTTATTGAACGTATCAAAGTCCTCACATTCCCTTTTCCCAGTTGACCAGTTCTCTTACTGGAAGTTGAATGACCAGATATTCATATTTACATAATCCAAATCAGCCAAGCAACCAACCAAACAGTAAATCTTCAAATGATTCAGAATGATTGATTGATATCAATTTAATATGTTTTATAGACCAGCATGGTGAAAGACGAAGACATGATTCACGAAGTGGCTCTAAGGCAGAAGCAGTTATACATTAGAAAACCAAACAACATAAGAGATCTAAAACAAAGGCAGGTAAGCAAGTAGAAGTCATGAACTAAAGCAGGGAGGTAGGCACTGAAACATAACAGGAATAAGTCAAGAACCACAAACATGGTAAGGCTGCCCTCAAACCCATGACAAGAGGAGAGTCTTAGCTAATTACGCCATGCAGCCGCCAGAGGAACAGGGAAACACACTTGGAGCTAAGAACACAAGAATTGCCAGTGAAATGTGCTGGCCAAAAAAAAAAAAAGATACCAGCGCTCCACCAGTCACCTGGAACATCAGACATTGACAGAAAGGCTTCTCTAGTGGGCCAGAAACTGCAGCTTTCCCTTTTGCGGACCAAGGGAATGTCATCTTCTGAATACATAGAGCAGTTAAATGTGCATCAGGAACCATACCAGGGGTTCTGAGAACCCATACCACTATATCTAGGCCTGCAGAACTCTAGGTCTCGGGCCAGAACCGAATCCAAGGGCCAGGGCTCTCATTCAAACACTGCCAGGTCAGGCAGAAGGGATTTAATTAGAAGACCAGACAAGAAAAGTGACGAGAGGTCTAAAACACTGAACTAAAACAGAGCAACAGAGGAACAAAAGGAGCAACAGAGGAACAAAAGGAGCAACAGAGGAACAAAAGGAGCAACAGAGGAACAAAAGGAGCAACAGAGGAACAAAAGGAGCAACA